TGGTCAGAATGTGTATCCCAACCTCTGACACATGCTTATCTTGGTCATTTTATTAACCTCAACTTGACATTTGTATGATTGGATTTTTTGAAATACCACTACAGCATCATGGAGAATGTCCTTATATTTTAAATTTGGGTATCATCATGGTGATGATCTTCTGACGTGTCCCATTTACTCCATCAAACATTAATCTAGGTGCTGCTGTGAAGGTAATCTGCAGATGTGATTAAAGCCCACCATCAGTCCACATTAACAGAGATTATTCTAGATAATCTGGGTGGGCCTGATTCAATCAATGGAAAAGCCTTAAAAGCAGAACTCAGGCTTCTTTGAGGAAGAGATCCCACCTATGGACAGCAGCTTCAGTTGTACCTGTGATTCCCAGACTGCTTTACTTGGCGGCGTGCTCTTTTCATCTCAGGTTTGCCTAGCCAATGCCACAATCAGGTAGCCAATTCTTGCAATAAATCTCTTAATAAATATTTTCTACTACTATAGTTCTTCTCTGGTTGAACACTGGCTGGTAAAGACAGGAATTTTTTCTGTTTTCTTTTTGCATTAAATCTAACTGCACCTTGATATTTAAGGTAGAAATTGTTCCTAAAGGTTCTCTTTATTATGAGTTGAGCAAGGTTCATTAGTTTCATGGTAGTTGTGAAATGCTTTTAGTTCAACACGCTCTTCTACTTGGCTATATCTTTCTTACCTTTCTGTTTCAGAAGGAACTGTCAATGTAGACTCAATGACAACCTTCTTTTTTGTAAATCAACCTTCTTTTGTAACTTAAAAAAGAAGAAATATATTTAGCAATTGCATATGAGTGAAAAAGAAAACAAAACCCCATGTTTAATTGGCAGAAAACTGAAGCTCTTATATACAAATAAATATTTGCTATGGATTTAAAAGTGGATTTTAGATAAGCCTTAGATTTTAGAAATGGAAGCACGATATAAAATCATTTTGTCAAAATAGGAACAGACATTGCCATTGCTTTGCCAAGTGACAATGTAATTTTAAGTGATTCAATGGTAAAATTTTCATAACTCTTCTCGACAGAATTTCTTAAAACTGTTTCTTAATACTAATGCTCTCTTGCCAAGTTTCATTTCATCCTTAACTACCCTGAGAACTTCTAAAACTAGAATATAGTTACACACACACAGGTTTCGAAAGCTAATTTGAAAATAACCCAAAGGAAGCAGGATTTTAAACTAAACTCAGATTTTAATTTAACAAATATTATTCATGACAAATTTTTCTAAGATAAGATGAAGTAGTCATTTAAGGAAAAAAAAACTCCACTTTTAGAAATATTAAACATTTATTTTTCTTATTGGGAGCACTTTTCCTGGTTGTAATAAGAATATGCACAAATAACCATATTTTCTGATTTCTGAGTGTTAACAACCCAAAATTCAAAGTGGCTTTTTTCCCCCCATACACGTTGGATACTGTTGTAAAATAAATTAATTTTAATTACAAAGTACTAGTACCAATATATATCGAAGAAATGTATTACCATTTACCTGGAATAACAAACATGTGCTTTGATATTTTTATTATAAAAACTGAGTTTTCAATGAAGGCAGTTTAACAAGACTAAGGTTGACAAAATAAATTTGAAATAAGCAGTCCTTTAAACTTAAACTAAAAATTGTGGCAGAATAAAATGTCAAGCAAGTGAAAAATTTTCTGCGATATATACATAAATATTTTATGTAAACAAAAGCAAAGATCAAGAAAAAAATTAAGTCATCCTTGTCAGCAACCAAAATACACAGATTAAAAAGTTATTTTATTTTTCTTCATGCTTCCATTGAACACGACTGGCATAAGCAGAGCAGTAGGAATTAAACAAATCTTTACATTCCCCTCATACTCTTCAGGAGGTTACATACAATAAAGACATCTCTCTAAGAGAGAAAAGAAGGTATTAGCGGAATTAGACCACAGAAGTCATGACTTTCAAATATTAAGTCACTCTTTTTGCTGTGCTGTGAAGTGAGATGGTTTATCTGAATTTGGCCAGTTGGAAGAAGGTAAAGCTAACACTGGCGAGATCCAGCACAAACACACATGGCAGCAAAGTAGGCACAATGATACATAGACTTTTCCTCGGGATGCGGGCTACCCATGCACTAGGAGATAATGGCTTCCAACACAAAACAAACATTTTGGATCAAACGGGCGACATTAAAATGGGTATATTTTTCGACAGGAGTGTTTCTTGAAGTGTGCCCCCGAGACCGCCTGCATCAGAAACAGAGTGCTCAACAATATAAAAGTGTGCATTCCTGGCCCGGCCCAGACCCTCTGGGAGCCCTGGCCATCTGCATTGTTAACAAGCCCCTCTGGGAATACTTAGACACACATTCATATTAAAGTTTGAATATCACTATTCCAAACCATTGAGGACTTCTTCGACTCTTTCTTTTGACTACAAATAGTTCACTGTCCCTTTCATGCTTCTGACTTATTAGGCAGAAGGAAAATAAAAACATTTCTGATTATGTCAGTCAGCAATGATCATTAGTAGTGGTATTTTTTCCCCCTCAGGAAAGTATAGGGGAATAGGCCACAAAGGAGTCTTGCACCTAAATTTTTCAAAGGTACCCCATAGTACTTCTTTTTTTAAAGCTTGCACATTGTATATATAATGGAAATGTTCAAAATGATTTGTAAACTGTCCTCTGATCAAGATTATCCAGGGTAGAGAGAACTGCTGGTCGGCGTTGCTGAATTCTCACAAAGTCCTTTCTTCTTTTTTCTTTCACAAATACCGAGCATCTCAGCAGGCACTCCAGAGCTCTCACTAAATGATGCACTGCCTGCCAAGCAGCACAAAAGTACCTAAGGACTGCTCATAAAAATAGGACAAAGAAAACTAAGCTCAGTATCAACTCCCATCAAAAGAGTCTCAAGACCCACTGCCAATGTGTAAGATGAATACAGAGCATGCTGACTTTCCTTAGGGTAAGTCTAATTTCAATAGACTTATTAATATCTGCTTGAAATCCAGTTTACATTGAAAATGGTAAGCATGGTACACTTCAATGTGTTACTAGAGTATTGTAGTTCTATAAGATTCCTATGGACACAATAATTTTACCTGCAAATAATATAAACTAGAAATCAAAGAGGTAGGTGACTATCATCAGAAGATGATCCCAAAACAACATGTTAAGTAATATGCTTGAGTCCCCAGAGTTCTTTAACTGGGAAAAGAGTTCCAACACCTTTGCAATTGCCTTAAGAGCAGGGTTTGCCAGGTCTTCTGTGATGTCCTCAACCTTCTGAAGTCCTAACTCCTGACACTGTGCCACATGCTCTTCAGACGTTCAGTGTTAAGACATAGCTAATGAAATAAAACCTAAAGAAGTAATACTGGAGACCAGAGTAAGGGTGATGTCAGCTGGACTCTTCAAAAATCTCCACTGTCACATACAGGAAAGAACATCGGAGTTGGGCCAGACCTCAGATTCATCTAATCCAACTCTCTGGTGGTACAACTGAAGAAACAGGCTCATTTTTCCCACTGGTTCACAAAGCATGAAAATTCTTAAAAGATGCTATAAATCCAGAAAGAGTTCATGGTTAACATGCCTATTTATAAGGCCCATGATGTAGCCAAGAGGCAACACTTTCAGCCCTTATGTCCTTGGTCTGCAGCCTCATTCCTGTCGGCTGTTCTATAAAGTGGATCAGTGGTTACAGTGAGAAGGGGACCATAGGGTCTGGATGTACCAAGCAGGACACATGATCAGCAAGAGAGAAATAATTTGAAAACCCAGACCTGCCCTAGTACAACTTGCTCTATGCTTGGAACAGGGCTGATTTTTGCTTCTCTGTAGGAAACTCACCACTGAGCACATTCACAAATTCCAGCTCTGCTATGGGCAAGCACTGGGCAACAATGCTGTTCTGCTTTAGAACATTTAGAATTTAGAAACAGCTGGACAACTGAAAACCTCTGAACCTGCAAGGCCAAACCTACCTACGGTGGTATATAACTTCTCCAAAATCGTCAGTCACTTGTTTTGTAAATTAAAAAAAAAAAAAATCACCTTCTTTCCTCATAGTCCTATTTATCTAAGATTTTAAAGTTCCACTGTAAAAGGGTGGTTGTTGTAAAAGATTTTATTTGATTTTTATATTTTCCAGACTTTCTGTAATGGTCTCACATTTCTTTTGCAATTAAAAATGAAGCAATTTTGAAAAAAGGTTTTAGTCTAAAAAATATTAAAGGACATACAAAGTTCCCTCTCAATGATAAAACATTTAAACCTGACAGGCATGTCAGTGTGACCCAGTGAAATAGCAGCCCCGGGGCTCTGACAGATTTTTTGGATCCTAGTTCCACCACGAACGCTAGGCAGGATTTTAGTCTCTCTGAGGCTTGCTTTCTTTATCTGTAAAAAGGAAGAAATAATACCTACCTCACAGGATGCTGTGAGGAAAAAATGATGCATAGTGCCTGGCACATGGTTGGAGTCCAATAAATGGTAGGCCCTTCTCCCTGCTGGATTCAGTGAGAATCCTTGAGTAAAAGGAAATCTCCACAGGCTGCACCAGCTATCCCCTCACTGCATCCAATTTCAATTGTCTCTGCGACTTCACCCTATTGCTCCAAAGAATTGCTCTGTGCTTAGAAAATTTTCTACATGTTCATGTTCTCTCCTTTAAAACTGTATATGCAGATAAAACATTTTTTAAAAACTATCTTCCTATAAATGATAATGCAATACTCCTAAAGCATAACATGCCACCTACAGAAACAACTCTGAAAAACATGACTGAATTCGTTGGTACGTTGTTTCTTAAAGTGCAGCAAAGTAAATATTAATGACTTTTAAAATATCACTAACACCCTTGGGTTTTTGGGTGTTTTTTTTTAATAAAAGTAAATATTTATTTACTGAGATGTATGTGGTTTTTGGCTCCAATGTAATGACAAAAAGCAGCAGTGTCTTCCAGAAAAAAAAAAAATAAAAAAGTAATTTAACCATCCCTTAGCAGCATACAAAACACCTACAATTCAGTGTAACTGCAGGCTCAATAAAGCCCAATCCTGATTCCTGCTTCAAAAACAAAGGCAATCAAAGAACAAAAACCCATCTCCCCAGCCTAAACCTAGAATTTCTCTTGAACCCTGGAGGTAACATTTGTAATCACTTCCATATTGTGTATCCTGGGTAACAGAATTATAACTAGCCACAATTCTTTCTTTACACTGCACACACACACACACACACACACACACACACACACACACACACACTCACACCCCTATTTTAAAAAAGAACAAAAAACAATGCAGTGTAAGTGGAGAAGCCATGTGAAAGAAAATTCAAAGTCAGATAAAGAACAACCATCACCCAACATGTCAGTCAGTTCCAATATTCACACTACCGTCCGATGTTCCCCACACACGTAGACAGCACTGGGGCGTATCCGGCGCCTTGTGTGACCAGGGAGCCGTGGCAAAAATTTGAAGGACTTAGGCAGCATGTCCAGGCAGGCGTCATGGAATTTCTTAATCCTCCAGTAGTAAATCAGTGGGTTCAATGCAGACTTGAGGTAGCAGAGCCAAAGTAGCCAGGTGCTAATCTCAAAAAAGTTGTGCTTATAGTAAAAGTGCTCACTGAACGTCGCCACAAGGCTGTAGGTGGTGAATGGGGCCCAGCAGACAATGAAAACAACAAAGAGAATCAAAATGGTGGTAAAGGCACGCGTTTTAAAGCCCATGTCGATGCTCATCTGGAAGGGCCTCTGGAGACTCATGAGACCCAGTTTGCTGGCCTGGCGGAGGCATATGCCCTCAGGGTAGCTGTGGATCCTCAAGGCGTTGTGCCGAAGCGTGTTGAGTATGCCCATAAACGCATACAGTATCACCAGGAAGGGTATAAAGAAAGAAATGAGAGAAATCAGAACCACATAAGCCTGGTAACTCGGACTAGTTGTGTACCCAAACACACACTGGGGGGCTCGGGAAGGTATCTGTAGGTCTGGGTTTCCTACAGCCAAAGGAAAAGCTACACAAAAGGAAGTTGCCCAGGAAACTGCAATCAGAACCTTGGCCCTGTACGGATTTAGCTTATCCTGCCTCTGGACTATAATAAGGAACCTATCGATGCTAATGATGAGCAGGATGGCTACTCCCTCTATCACAAACAACCAGAAAAACATAGCAGATACCCTACAGAAGAATTTCCCAAAAATCCACCTGGTAGTAAGAATAGTTACCAAGGCAAAGGGCATATTCAGCACTGCTAGCGACATGTCTGCAAACGCCAGGCTGGCCAGGAGGATGTTAATGGCAGATCGCATGGCAGCTTTCCGGTAAACCATGAGGCAAACCACCAAGTTCCCAAGAAAAGACACGAACAGAATAAATATCATTAGAGCAGAGAGGATGACCTGGAGAGGCAAGTTTAGGCTCTTATAAGCTGCTGGTGTTGGGGGTACAGCTGTGCTATTCGCTGTCCAGGAACTCATCCCAGTGGGAGCCAGAGTTTCAAGACTGTATCTAAGCAGCGGACCGAAGCCAGGATGCTGGAATGGTGGAGGGACCGTAGTATTCATGTACGCGTTTTCATAGACTACGAACGTTGTGTTGGTGGCCCCAGCATGGGACGCAGTCAACACCGCGGAGAAGACCATGGTTTCAGTAGGATGGAAGGCGCCGGTAGATTAACAGGATGCTCTTCAAGCATTTCAACACAGAGCAGCAGCAGCATGTTTCATTGATGGGTCTGGAAACACACTCTGGAAAACAGGCATAGGGTTCCATCTTCCACAGGAGTCCTTTCGCCTGAAAACAAGTGCAAAACATGAAAAAGTAAATGAGAAATGAGCTCTGTAAATAAATATTTGACTTCTTCTTACCTTTCATTATGAATGACCAGTTTGGCTTTTTTTCTTTGTTTTAGCTCTTTAAAAATATTTAAGTCTCTAGCCTAGTCAGTATTAAAATATTGTTTTCTGTTGTTTTCTTTTTGGTCAACCATGATGGAAACTTCATGACATTCATATATGAAGTGAAAGAGGAAAAAAAAAAAAAAAAGTATTACTGCTTCCAAGTCAAAGGTTCTAACATGATTGTTATTTTATTTTATTTTTTTTAAATTTCCAATAGCAGCATGGCCTTTCCACAGTCATTATTAATACACATTTTATTATCTGGCTCTCTTGAGAGTACTAATGTTTTTTCTTAATAGCTCTTTGGTACCAGTTCAGATTCCATTTCTACATTAGCACAAAACTAGTTGACAAAAATCCCTGAATTCAGCTTCCTTTTTAATACTTTTGTTATGACACCCTTATAAGTAGGTACTAGGTTATTTTCTGTGGAGGCCCGAAAGTTTCCTGGCTTTCTATTTCTTTGTGTTTCTTCCCAGAAATCCCACCATCACATACTGGATAAGTTATTCAAGAGGACAAGAAAAATTGTACATAAAAAGTCTTGGTCATATTTTCAAGGCTTCTTTTCTTTCTCAAAAACTCTCTTTGCTTCTCATATTCTCTCTTCTGCTCATGCCCACTCATTTCCAGTCTTTATTTTCTCATACAGATACTACTATTTTCTCAATTTCTTCTCCCTAAAACCGACCTTGTGTGTTGGCAACTTGATAGATGTCAACCAAATAATAAAGATGGGGATTCTGAAGGAAATGGCCAGAAAAATATTAAAGAGAATCTATTTTAGAAAACTTGCAGATATTTGGTTATCTTACTCCAAAAAGTTTCTTATCACCTTTTTCTCTTATCCTTACCCCCAACTTCTGCAACACTAGAGTTTTCTGTAGGGGGCTTTATTTATTTATTTAATTTATTTAGGAACAGTGTGTTTTTCCAGGACCCATCAGCTCCAAGTCAAGTAGCTGTTTCTATCTAGCTGTGGAGGGCGCAACTCAGTGGCCCATGTGGGGATCAAACCGGCAACCTTGGTGTTATGAGCACTGTGCTCTAACCAACTGAGCTAACTGGCCACCCTCTAAAGAACTTTATTAATCTACTATCTTACTAACTCGTTTTTGTGGTGTTGGATCTTCCTTCCTTACTGCAGAGGTAACCTCCTAAATTAGAATATTCTTTGGATTTCTAAGTAGATTCTTTTAATAACTCCCAAAGACCGGGAAAACATGCATGCACAGTAAGTTTAAAACAACACTGTAATTTGCTCAGTATTTGGACTTAGAATTACTCACTGATTTACTATTTTCTTGGGGTATGGAGGGTGGAGACAGCCCAATTGAGACACCCAAGATCCAGCACTGTAGCCAAATCATGGACTCTATACCATACAT